GGATGAGTCCTTCATGCCCAATTCTTACTTTCACCTGCTGCTGAGCTCAGTTTGCTGCTCTCCTTAAAGCATCTTGCACTGGTAGGGACAAACAACTCCATCTGCAGTTTTCTTATGCTGACTTGGGTGGGTAAGCACAGGTCAGAATGGGAGCCTGTGCTCCCTCTGCCTGTGAAGACTTGGTGTTGGCACTGAGTTGGTGGAGCTCAGCAGTGGAGCCTCTGGGCCTGGCTCCCCTGAGTCTGTCCACTCCCCTGAGTTTAGTCTCCTCACCTGCTTCCTTCTAGGCCCATTTCTGTGGTTTGCCTTTATAGAATTCACCCATTTCTAGAATTTACCCAACTTGTGGGTACCTCCTTCCCAGTGTTGTTGTGGTCCTTTTACTCCTGTCCATGTGGTAGCAATGTCCCCTCTTTCGTTTCTGATTCCAGTAGTTTGAGTTTTCTCTCTCCCCTGGTCACACTAGCTAGAAATGTGTCCCTTTAGTTGATCTCTTTAAAGAATCAGGTTTTGGATATTTGGTCTGTCTCCTATTCATTCATTCCAGCACTCATTTTTTCTTTTTTCTTTTTTTTTTTTTTTTTTTTGTGGGGGGTGGAATTTTTTCTTTTTAAGTATGCATTTTGACCTATCTTACATACATGGAGTACAACTTCCCATTCCTGGGGTTGAGCATGATGTGGAGTGACACTGGTCATTTACTCATCCATGAACATAGGAAAGTTTCCCATTCCCAGCCTCCCGCCCTTCCAGGCACCATGCCCTGCCCAATCTGGTGACACCCCACCCCACTGTGAGCCAGCATCCACATATCTGAGAGAACTTTTGGCTTTTGGGTTTTGGGGACTGGTTTATTTCACCTAGCATGAAGTCTCCAGTTGCATCGGTTTACTGGCAAATTCCAGTGCTAGTCTTATGGCCTCTTCACTTTTTGTGAATTTTATTTACTCTTCTTTACCTGGTTGCTTTTTTTTTTTTTTAGAGAGAGAGAGAGAATTTTAATACTTATTTATTTTTTTAGTTTTCCGCGGACACAACATCTTTGTTTGTGGTGCTGAGGATCGAACCTGGGTCGCACGCATGCCAGGCGAGCGCGCTACCGCTTGAGCCACACCCCAGCCCCTACCTGGTTGCTTTAAGTGGAACGTTGGGTTATTAATTTGAGACCTTTCTTTCTTGTAGGCACCGCTGGCCATCATTTCAGAGGCTTTAAGTGGTTCGGGTTTTAAGTGACTTTCCAGTTTGCTGGGTCAGGCCACAGGGAGCTCCCCCAACCTCGTGTCCCCTCTCCTCCGCAGGGTGAGTGCTCCACCAAGTGCCGCAGCCTCTTTGTACTGGAGACGGTGTGCGTGGCCTGGTTCTCCTTCGAGTTCTTGCTGCGCTCCCTGCAGGCGGAGAGCAAGTGCGCCTTCCTGCGGAGGCCGCTCAACATCATCGACATCTTGGCCATCCTGCCCTTCTACGTGTCGCTGCTGGTGGGCCTGGCGGCGGGGCCCGCGGGCAGCAAGCTGCTGGAGCGAGCCGGGCTGGTGCTGCGGCTGCTGCGCGCGCTGCGCGTGCTCTACGTGATGCGCCTGGCGCGCCACTCGCTGGGGCTGCGCTCGCTGGGCCTCACGGTGCGCCGCTGCGCGCGCGAGTTCGGACTGCTGCTGCTCTTCCTTTGCGTGGCCATGGCGCTCTTTGCGCCGCTAGTGCACCTGGCTGAACGCGAACTGGGCGCGCGGCGCGACTTCTCTAGCGTGCCGGCCAGCTACTGGTGGGCAGTTATCTCCATGACCACCGTGGGCTACGGCGACATGGTGCCGCGCAGCCTGCCCGGGCAGGTGGTGGCACTGAGCAGCATCCTCAGCGGCATCTTGCTTATGGCCTTCCCGGTCACCTCCATCTTTCACACCTTCTCGCGCTCCTACTCGGAGCTCAAAGAGCAGCAGCAGCGCGCTGCCAGCCCCGAGCCCGCCCTGTGCGAGGACAGCACGCGCTCAGCCAGCGCCACCGAGGACAGCTCGCAGGACCCCGAGGGCACCAGGGGTGCACAGGGCCCAGCAGGGCCGCTCTGAGCTGGCAGGAGGGTACTGCTCTGGAGCTTCAGGAAGTGCGGTCGCTGGAGGTCCACGAAGGGGCCTGCAGACCTGCCAGAGCTTAGTCTAGTGCATCGACTGGCCTCGGAAAGCTTCCGGCTCCCAGTAACTCCTGAGAGCTCACCAGCCTGGGTCCTCTTACTTCCCCTCGGGTTTTAAATTTTCTATGGCTAACTGAATAATCCACTGGATCCCAGAAATCCCACACCTGGAGCAAATGCCAAGCTACGCTGGCCTGGGCCTGACCCTGACCTGTCAGCCAGGGCAGCCCTGGCAGGAGTCGGGCAGTTGGAGACAGAAGTCCCTTCTGCTGCCTGGTCACCCATAGTGGCAGTGCACCATGGGAGGGAGACATCCAGCACTGCCAGTCCATGTCACTTGCAGAGTGACAGGGCAGAGTCTTGACATGGGCACTCACAGGCCCTGCTTCTCCCTAAGTAACCCTCCTTTGGTGGGGGGCCCAGACCTCTGACCTGCATTCCCTGACACTGGCTCCTCAGGTGACAGGGCCTCCCCTGGCAGGTGGCAAAGCAGGTTTGCATGTGGTGTTTTAACAGCCCCCTCCACCCACCCACCATGGAGGAGGTTACATCTCCCCCCTGGAACACAGTTCTCAAGGCCTCACAAGCAGAAAACACTCCCCACTCTCAAGTCCGGCGTAGGATGTGGTGGTATAGGGGCAAGATGGGCAGGGGCTCCTTCAATGTTTCCACAAAAGCATGGGCAAGTCCATTCAGGACAGGACAGAATTCTCCAGATGCCACTTTGTACTTTTTCACTGATGAGCTTGGCCACCACACCTGAGATACTGCACCCAGAGGGTCTTGGACAGCAGGGTACCCTCCTCAGGACCCCTGGGGTGAGCAGAGGCCCTTGGGTCCCTTGGATGTTTCCTAAGATTCCACCGAAAACCAATAAAAAGTGTAGCCTCCCCTGCAAGCTCCTGGCTGAGCTCCTTGGGTGCAATGTCACCTGAGTCTGTGGGTCTGCCCAGAGTGGGGGCCTGGGGCCCCAGGATCTCCTGGGAATCAGCAGGTGCAACAGTGGGAACCACCAGAGACACTCTGACCTCACCAGTGTCCCTTCACTAAGCCCAGCTGTCTAAACTCCTAGGTCCACGGCAGAGCCCAGACACACATGCCCCTGCTCTCCAAGGTAGGCTGGTTCATCTCAGGGTGCCAGAGCCAAACCCAGAGCCAGAGAGGCCTGGGATCACCTGCTGCACGCAGGCTCTGAGGTTGGCATGGGGTGAGCCTAGCTCCCAACCCCCATCTCCCCCCCCCTTGTCCCAGCAAAGTGTTGGCATGCACACAAACACCTGGGCTCCCCAGTCAAGGACAAGGGCCCTGGAAACTGAAATAACTGTCTTTCCAGCAGCCTAGCAGGCTTCCTGCAGACCAGATAGCGGCCAGCCAGCATGGGAGAGCCCTCGCTCCCACGTCTACCTTCAGGGCTCCCCACTTTCTCCTGGATTCTTGCACAAGCTTAGGGAAGAAAAGATGCCCTTATTTCATGAGGAAATGACTGTCCAAGATGGGCCCAGCCACATGTAGCACCCTGGCCTGAGGCCTGCCCACCTGGCCAGTCTGAATGGTGAGGACAGGGGCTGCGAGCCCCTCTTCCTGCACTGTGGCCAGGCTATTCTTCTCCTCCCCACTGGGCCACATGCTATGGGGAGCAGGTGTGGTGAGGACAGGAAATGCAGGGAACAGGTAAGTCCACCTGAGAGCCAGAACCTCCTCCAAAGTGGGCTAGAGCCAGAAGGCCCCAAGGGCCCCTGTGCTCAGACCTGCCTTCTGGCTTGTGCCCCTCGACACTTGGGGAGCCAGTGCAAGGTGAACTGCCCTCACGGCAACAGCTGCAACTTGCTCAGGATGAAAGGGGTAGAGGGTGGTACCTGCCAACACAGACCCAGGCAGCCTCACGCATCAGGCCTGTATTTAAGCCCTCACCTCATCCTCCAGGAACAAGGCAATTCCTACTGTGCAGGCACGCTGACCTTTACCATGAGGACCCCCGAAATAAACCCAGGTGGTCGTTCCTTGGAGGCCAGGTAAGTAGCAGGAAAGGACCAAGGGCATCTGTAGGAGACTCTAAGACCAGGCTGGGAGCATCAGAGGCCCCCTGGGTCACCAGAAAGAACATTGGCCAGCTCTGCCGAGAACAGTGGATGGGGAGGGACACAGCTGCCGCTGAGCTATGGCCTGGCCCTGGGCTCCGAAGCTGCCAGATGGCTGCCCTCTCACAGGAGGGCTCCGGGCGGGCTTGGCTGCGACGGCTCAGTCCCTGCCTGTTTTCAGGGGCGTGAATTCCCTAGATTCCCACCAGCCCCCTTCCTCACGTTCTGATGAGCTCCACACCGGGGACACCTGCCCGGGCCTCTGGCAAGAGCAGTGGTGAATCACCACTTCATCAGGGCACTGCTGTTAAAGTGGTAGGAATCTTTCGGGGCAGCAGTGACTTGGCTGAGCTGAGAAATGAGGCTATTCCACCACCTCAGGAGCCATGTTGAGACCTATTCCCACCTCTGCATGTGCTGCTGAGGAGGGCAGCCGCCAGCCACAGGACAGAGGTGGCAGGGGCCCAGTTAGGCCATCTGAATGGAGGCCGGGCACGGTGCCCATGAGGCCAAGTGGGGCTGCCACACCTCAGCCTCCTCCCTGCCAGAGCCAGAGCCACCAGGTGTTCTACCTTGTGCAGACAACTCCCTCACTGCACAGGCCTCCGCTCAAAAATCAGCAGAAAGGGGTGACCATCCAGGTATGGTGGGAACTCTGGCTTAACTGACAGGCACCTGCAGCACCAGGCCTGCACAGTTCCCCAGCACCACGACAGTGCTTCACTCCAAGGCCACCTACCCCACCCACCCCCATGCTGGCCCCACCCTAGGCACACAGAAGTCTGACTCAGAGCCAGCTGAGGTACATTCAATGAGCAGCCACCGAACCTGCGGTCGGTGACATTTTAATTTGGAAGCAATTACCACTACAGACATCTACCTTCATTTTTAAAAAATAAACATTTCAAAGCATCTTGCAGCCACAGAACTAAGCAAGAGCCTCACTCAGACACTGAATCTGAGGAAAGCCAGGTGGGGATGGTGCTGTGGCTTCCTGGGCCACCATAGCGCCCCCTGCCATCACGAGCCTGGTGCTGACCACAGCCTGCCGCGACCCCTGCATGGGGGCGGCCCCTCTGCCCTGCAGAAGGAAGTCATTGCCTGTGGGAGTCCACAGAAGCATCCAGAACTCTCAGGGCTGGGAGTGACCAGATGGGCACAGGGCTGCCAAGCACACGTCACCGGTGTTGAATGGAAAGGGGGAACATGGCGGTGGTGTCAGGCCAGCGGCCCGTCAGGCAGGCACAGCAAGAGTGGCAGCGGGTAGGTGGGGACAGCATGGGGATGGGCCACCAGCAGCCAGGACCCTCACACTGGCCTGCTGTCTGTCCTGGCAGCCACAGGTTCTGCCCGGGGTCTGCAGGGCCCCCCTCCCCAGGCTTGCCCAGGGCAGCTGCTGAGCCCCACAGCCCTGCTTCCTGACGGAGCCTCTCAGGTCAGGCCAGTGCATCTGAGAAGGCGCATGAGACACAGTTTCCTGTCAACTTGAACATGCCTGAGAGCTAGCCCTGGGTGCAAGATCCGTGCCCACTGTCCTCACGGGGAGTGCCAGACTGGCCTGTTCCCAGCCACCCCCAGGCACCCACCCCGCACGCAGGCTGGTGGAGAACCTGGCACCAGGACTTCACCTCCACCCACACCCAGCCTGCTCCTTGTGTGGCCTTGGGCCCACCCGCCCTGACGTGGGAGCACAGGATGACTAGTGCCCACAGCCAGGATCACACAGTCTTGTCTCTGGTGCCTCAGAGGGCCTTGGCACTGGCAGGGTGTGCAGTGTGGGGTGCTGGCTTCTGGGGGTGGCAGGCAAAGATATAGGCCTGCCCCAGGATGGCCAGGTCCACCAGCACCTGCAGCAGGCCACAGACTGAGAACTGCAGGGGTGCACCATTGAGCAGGAAGTAGGCTGTCTTGAAGGTGTCCCCGCTTGTCCACATGAGCACCATCTTGAGGCTGTGGAGACACAAGAGGGAAGTCAGAGGACAGGGACACAGAACCCAGGAGGACAGGGACACACAGGGAGGTCAGCAGTGTGATCCAGGGAAATGGGGGATGTGCTGTGGCCTACTGAGGTTGGGACCCAGTGCAGCCTGGGGTGGGTTGGCACCATGTTGGGCAAACAGCCTGGACTGACACAGGCCCAGCCAGGGCAAAGGCCTGGTCCTCATAATTGCACATATGGGTTGTGTGCCAGCCAGCCTCAACACACCAAGAGGTGGTCTGTGTACCCCTCTAAGCAGAGAGGTTAAGTAACTGCTCCAATGTCACACAGTAAGTAGGATGAGGTCCAATGAGGCTAACTCCAAAGCCTGGGAAGCACTGGGTTTAGGCAGAGGGGTGTGTGGCTGCAGCCTTGATCCCAGGATCACCTGTCCTGTCCCAACCAGCTGCCCGTACCCTCACTCTTAGTGGCCTCAAATGCACAGGTATGCTCCAGAGCTTGGCACCATGGCTTCCTGGACCCCTGCCACCCCCGCTCCCCAGGCGACAGCTCCTCCTGACCCACCATTGTGGGGGCAAGTGTTCAAGCCCAGCCTCCAGAGGCCCTGACACTAGCTACCTTGACACTAGGGGCTGGAGCAGGTCAGGCTCCCAAAGGACCTGCTCACTGGGAGCCACAGCCACCAAGCTTGGGACCCAGGGCTTTTGATTTCAGTGCATTATTGATGGAAACGATGAATTCCACCTCTTTCTCCCGCTGGGTTTCTGTGATCCTTTACCCCAGCACCATCTGTGAGAACAAGGAGCAAGTCCACTGGTTCTGCCATCCAGGGGGTCCCCAGTGCACACCAAGCTTGGCCTCAGCATGGTGGTAAGCCCCACCCGAAGCGAGTCCCTCTGTCCCTAGACAGCAGACGCTCAGCTGGCCCAGATCCCACCCAGGAGCCCCTATCCTGCAGGATGCCCACCGTCAGGCTCAGCCGCATAGGAGAACTGACGCAGGTCGGGAGGGGACTGCCACCTCCAGGGACCAGGCTTTCTGTCTGCAGCTCCCTCTGGTGGCTGGTGGCCGGGGGCAGCTGCAGCTCCCCAGCTACACCTCCTGGTTTCCCGTAACCTCACTCTTGGCTCCAGCAGGCTTCCTCCAAACTGGCTGCCAGATCACCACTCCTGAAACACCCCTCACCTGATCCTGTCCCAGGTAGCCACTGGAAATGGCCCCCAGGTCGAGGAGATGAGGGCCAACTCCCAGACCTGCCCAGCTGCCTCCCTCCCACAGGCACACAACCCATCCTGCCCCAGCGCACCAGGGACAGGCCCCACTTTCCAGCAACCATTGAACCCCACCCAACGATATCCCCAGGAGGCCATCCCAGCCCTCCCGTCAGGTGACCCTGTGTTAGGCCAAGTTCTCTCAGGTGAGATGAAAGAAAAGGCAGGCAGCGGGGGCGCTGGCGCAGGCCTGTGATCGCAGCAGCTCTGGAGGCTGAGGTGGGAGGATCGCAAATTCAAAACCAGCCTCAGCAACTTGAGTCCCTAAGCAATTCCTTGAGACACTGTCTCTAAATGAAGTACAAAAAAAGGTCTTAGGATGTTGCTCAGTGGTTAAGCACCATTGGGTGCCAAAAAAAAAAAAAATCCCCAGTATGAAAAGAAAGAAAGAGCAGACACACTGCATTGCACTGTATGGGAAAAATCTGCTGAGAAAGACAGCATAAGGAAAGCCAGAAGACCACCCACAGGACGGAGGGGGAAAGATTTGTAAATCATACATTTGATGAGGTTGACTACCTAGAATATATGCTCTTACAATTCAGTAATAAAAACCACCACATGACCAACTTACAAAGCAGCAGAGAGCCAAGCAGACACTCTCCAAAAAGGAAGCACCCATGCACTTGAAGAGATGTTCCACGTCACGGCCACCATGGAAATGCAAACTGAAGCCGCAGCGACACACCCCACATGCCTGCCACAGTGGCCAGAGGCACAGACAAGGCTGGAGGGGGCACGAGGACATCACTTCACAGGGTGGTAGGAACATGAGGTGGTGCAGCCAGCAGACAGACAGGTTGGCAGTCCCCTCAGCCATCAGTCGCCACGTGATCCAGCCCTCGCGGGCCCACCTGTCTGCCCCAGAGGGGAAAACATGAGTCCACGTGAGAACCTGCACACGGAGGTTCAGGACAACCTTGTTCCAAAGAGCCTGCGGTGGCTGAGCACCCGGGTGCCCAGGAACTGGAGTGTGCTTAAGCCACATGTGGTGTTTGCACAGAGAGATGTCACAGCATAGACAGCAATGGCACCAACACACCTAGGCCTCTGAGGACCTGAAGATTGCTGCCTGAGAGGAGCCGGCACTGGACCATACTGGGCAACTGCACAGCTCCAGAGCCACCGTCAGGAGACCCGCGTGGCTGTGGGGCCAGCTGGGGCGGACAAACCACCTGCCGCCTGAGGACAGTACCTAATCCTTGGACACAGTGCTCTGCTGAGGCCACTGAGGTGCACTGGATTATGGCACAGGCCAGCTCTAAAGTGTCCCAGCCCCTTGTCAGAGGGCGGCCATGGGCTTTGTGTGAGGGGGTCATCACGGGCCCTGCAGAGCACCTTCCACTCACAGCTGTCACCAAGAGCTAGGCGGAGGTCTGAGGATGAGGTAGATGTGGTCTAGGGGGAAATGCTCTACTTCCCAAAAGGCTGCAGATCCCAGTGGTCTGCTCAGGAGACCAAGACAAGGCCCATGTGGGATCAGACACAGAATCCAGCTTCTGGGTGCATGCCGCTCAATGGCGAGAGCCCAGAGTCCTGCTGGATTCGGCAGAGTGGCCAGATGAACAGCATGGCTGTGGAGGGTGACCTGCACCTGCTGCCTCTGGTCTCCTTCTCCTCACATAGCCTCCATGGTCACTAACTGTGGCCCTGCCATGGGGACCTGCACCTCCCTCCAGCCTGCACCATCTCTACCTCTCTCCAGGCTCTGCGCTCGAATGCCTGGATGCCTTCCCCACACAGCCCTTTGCATTCTTCAATAATAACCCGTTCCTCTGTTGAAGGTCTTGGAATGCTCAGCCCCCTCTTATCTCTTACAAAATCCCACTCCCACTCCAATGATTACTTGTTAGGGAACAGTCTTCAAATCTCATAAAAACTGGAGGAAGACGAGTGCAAATAATATCCCCACAGAATCTGCCTTTCAGGTTGCTGCACTAATTAGTAGCATCTTTTCAAAGGCTCATCATTTCCTATAATTGGCACTGAACCCACAACATCTTCATGTTTTTCAAAAGGAAAAACATTATTCAAAAAAAACTCTAGCAGTTGCTCCATGATATACAAAGTATGTACAAGTCTGTGTGTGCATGTGGGTAAGACCATGTCTCCAGACGCACTCCTGCATGTGCACACCTCTCTGCACACATGTGGTATGGGTGCCTTTGTGCATGTATTCACATGAGGGTACATGTGTACACACACATCATAAACGTGTGAGTCTAGGTGCACGCTGTGTGCCGTGTGTGGCCATGTGTGCACACTCATGTGGACACATGCCTTCCCACGAGGCAGGACCTTCTAGAAGACCTGCTGTGAAGCCACTTCTACAAGGCTGCTCACTTGAGGCTGCCCAAATTAGTCGGTTCAAACATGAATTCAAAGACATCCTTAAGCATCCTGGTGATCTTTGGTTTTTGTTGTAATGGTGGTGCTGGGGATTGAACCCAGGGACTTGTGCATGCAAGGCAAGCACTCTATCAACTGATAGAGTGATCCCCAGCCCCATCCTGGTGATCTTAAGGTGGACTTGAGGCAGAGGTTGTGATGTGGTCCCAGGGGCCTCCACACTTCCCTAGTCCACAGCAGTGGTGCTAGGAGGCCCTCAGAAAAGGAGGCCAGGGCTGGGGTTGTGGCTCAGAGGTAGAGCGCTCGCCTAGCATACATGAGGCACTGGGTTCAAACCTCACCACCACATAAAAATGAAATAAAGAAATTGTGTCCACCTACAACTAAAAAATAAATATTAAAGAAAGAAAAGTAGGCCAAAGTCTACACTGCCACGCTGCTGGCCACCAAGCAGTCTGTGTATCCAGAAGTGATCACATGTGCACATTTAAACACATCTCGGTACACCCAAGGCTGGGAGCGTCTGCTCTCTAGCTCACATTCAGGAGTTCCTCCACGTCGCCCCATGGGGAGCAGGGCAGGGTGCACAGGAGCCTGAGGTTTCTGGGCAGGCGATCCAATGAGTGTCCGGGGTGCACAGAGAGGACATGTCTGAGCACATCCAGGAACCCAGCAGAGCCCAGAATGGGCCACAGGGCATGGACGCCAGGTCCAACCTGGGTTGGGTGTGGCCCACACAGAGACCCCAGGAGACAACACAGCAGGAGGGGTGTGAAGCTGAGGACCACAGGAAGCTTCCAGCACTGCTGCGACAGAGCCCCAGGGAGCTAGGGCCTGTGCAAGCAGAGGACTCGTGTCCTGCCTCGGAGGAGCCTCTGCGCACTGCCCTCTGGAGTGCCACACCTGCCTCCCTCTGCTGAAATGGGGGGCTCCCTGGCACCCAACACTGGGGCTCAGGACCATTTTGGATTCAGAGGAAAAGCCACCAGAATTTACTCTTGGGTGACATAAGACCTCAGCAACCAAGGTGGACAACACATCTGAGCAGCAGCAACCATGGTCTCAGCGTTCCTGTGTCAAGGAGAGAACATGCCCCCATCTGACCACAGGTCCTGTGTCCAGGTGCCCACCCTCATCTGCTGATGTGGCCCAGCACAGGCTGAGTACCTGTGTCCCTTCGGTGCATGCTGAAGCTAGGAGATGGACAGTGTAAGATCTGGGGACTCCCCTTCCAGGTCAGATGCACAGGAAGAGCTGACCTGGGGGCCTGGGCTGTGATCCCGACAGCTGGTCTCTGCAAACTTGGACTTGGGGAGGGATTCCACCGTCTGCACTTGCTAAGGCAGCCCCAAGGCAGCCAACATGGCCCACATAGGACAAAGACCTTCCTCCAGGGAGTCGAACACTGGCCCAGGGGAGCAGCCCTCTGAGTGAACCTCACTGGGCAGTGCCCAGATCCAGTCCAGCATGCTCCTGGCAGGGAGATCACTCCATGAGACCCTCCACAGGGTGCAAGGAGCAACCTGGGGCCTCCCACCCTCCACACATGGCTGCTATCATCCTACACTGAGTGCTGCCAGGCCTTCACACAATCCCAGGAGGTGCAGCCAGGCACACACAGAAGAGGCCCCCTGAGAACTGAGCCCAGACCCAACTCCACAGCCACTTGCCATGAGCCCCATGTGTATACCCAGAGTGGGCACACCCACTCTGCACACCTCCTTCCTCCCATCTGGCTCCTGGGGTGGCATCACCCCTGACCAGAGCCTTGGGTCCTCATGGTCCCAGCCCCATGGTGAGGAAGCCTCCCGGCCAACCTGTGGCTCCAGCTACCCCAGCAGTCTGGATTCGCGGTGGTCACATGGGCCAACCTGGCCCCTCCCAAGCTTTGCAGCAGGCCAGAGCCCAGATCTGCACTAACATCCCTCAGCCCTGAGCACAGCTGCACCCCCACCCAGGCCACACCTACATCTGTGCACCAAGCCCCACCTCCATGCCAGCCTGGGCCACTCCTTAAACCCGGAACTTCCCAGAACCCTGAGACACACCCTGCACTTCCAGGGAAAACCCACTTGGTCCCCTTCCACCAGTTCTGTTTTCTCAGAAATAAAATAGATCTGATGGTGGGAAATACCTTAGCAAGCGTGGGGGCAGGGGCGTCTTCAGTGAGGAGTGGGCGGGGTCTTCAAAGAAGGCATGGGGCGGGGTCCTCCGGGAAGACCAGGTGCTGAGCTACTGAGCAAGCTGCGTCCTCGCCCCTCCCCACCAGGTGACGTGTTTCCTACAAACTGCTTTGTTCCAGAGCTCACCAGGTACCCATCCCCTGATGCTGCCGTCACCTGGGGCCTGTCGGTCACATGGGGCTTTGTCCTGCCAGGTGCAGGCAGACCCTCAGTCTAGCCCTGTCGGATAACAGCTCCTTCACCTCCTCCTGCAGATCGGCAGCAGGAGGCAATGCGCCACTGAGGTTATCTGCCCTGACTACCTGCTTGCTCTGTGGGCAGGGCCTGTCCTGCCCACCTGTGCCATGGGCACCTGCCACTCCAGCCCTCCACAGCCTAGGAGAGCTCTTCATCCCCTGACAGGCGTCACTTCCCCCAGCCCTGCCACCTGAAATACCTGCTCAGAACAGCCAAGACCCCTGTGTTCAATGCCCCCCATGCCATCTGCAGCTCACGGTGCCACAGACACTCCGCACGTGCCCCTACCTCATGCCCTCGGTGGAGCGGTGGCAGTAGTTGCGGTACAGCTGTGGCACGCCCAGCATGGCCTCGGTCAGCACTGCAAGGAAGCCCAGCGTCTCCACAAACAGGGCCGAATCGATGGACAGGTAGGTGACATAGCCCGCCACACCAGTGAAGGCCAGGACACACTGCACATAGTCCCCGAAGCTGCTCCAATGCCAGAAGTGGTGTGGATCAAAATCTAGGGCAAGAGGGAGAGAGCCACTCAGCCAGGTGAGCAGGTCAGGGCAAGTAAGGAGGGAGACGGGGAGTTGAGCCAGGCCAGGTCAAAGTCAGCCGGGGAACAGGAACCAGGTGACAGGCTGGGGACAGGTACATGAGCAGGTCAGGGTCACTGTGGGGAAAGGCAGACTACACGTGTTCTTGAGGAAGCGACTGCTGGCGGAGCCTTGGCACAGACACTAACTCCACATAAAAGGCACACTCTAGAGTCAAAGTTCCTTCTGAATCTGTGTGACCAGCAACAACACCAAGACAAGCAACCTGATTAAAACCGGGCAGAGTCTCAATGGATGTCCTCCACAAGGCCCAGGGAAGGACGGCCTGCATCATTGTCAGAGGGAAGTGCACAGGGGAGTTCAGGGGCTGCCTGATGCTCTGTTGAGGATGGAAGCCCAGACTAGCTGGAAGACTCAGTGGAGCCATGCCATGTTCAGGATGCACCTGCACCTCCTGGATGGCTCCTGGCACCGGAGGCTTGTAGGAATCTGGGCTTCAGGCAGGCAGGTAGGTCCCCAGGCCCATCCTAGGCACACAGGAGGAACACACCAACGTGGGTGGGGGCTAGGGCCACTCCTACCTCCCCCAGCATTCCTACACTCCCCTGAACAGGGGCAGCTGAACAGAGGCCAGCTAGGGTTGGCCTCCACCTCCACAGGGCACAGCCTTCCCAGTCTCAGGGTCGTGACCTATCCATTTTCTTAAACCATGAACATCACAGTCTAAAGGAGCAGGAGGTTGCTGGTCCCTGCAGAGCAGCTTTGACCAGCTACAGAGGGCGCTGGTGTCCCCCACACCTCCTGCCTCTGCACAGGGCGTCCTGTGGGACCCAGAGGGCTAGGGTGGGCAGTACTGCAGGCATCCCCACAACCCACAGCGCTGCAGAGCAGCACCAGAAGGCCACTGGCAGGCAGCTCTCTAAATGGAAGACTGCATCTGCCCACTCAAAGAAGAGAGTGGCAGAGACCCTGCCTCTCAACCGTGGGGAGCAGTCAGGACCCCAGGTCCAGGCAGGAGTCCGACCCTCACAAGTGGTCGCCTGCAGCTGGGCCCTGGGGCCAGGCACCAGCAGTGACACCTAACAGCGTGACAGCGCAATTTTCCAAGGGGCCACCAGAGTCCTGCGGCGGTCGACGGGCGCCCTCGTGCGGCGGGCCCAGGCCACGTGGAGCAGAGGCCTTCTCATTGCCCTGGGAGCAGCTAGTGGAGGACAGGATGAGGGTTCTCTCCTCAGCCCCTGCGACACGGTGTTCAGAGGCGAAAAGCCACTGGAAAGAGTGGAGGGACCCGCGCGTACAGCCTGGCCTGCCGCACCTCTTGGGGCTGTGTGCTCAGCGGATCCCGCGCTCCAGGCATGGAGGCTCTGGAGAAGGGGTCCTGCCAGAACTCCCAACCCCCATCCCACAGGAGCCCCGAAGCCGGGAGGCTGGTGCCATCTAAGGGGCTATGTGGTACGAGGCGACTGGTACCAGGCCCCAGCATGAGGTGCACCCCCACACACACCCTGCAGGCGGGCTGCTGGGGAAGATGGGGCTGGCTCAGGGCAGCTTCCCCTGGCCAGCAGCGTCCCTCTGAACAAGCACATGTTCCTTTCCATTTCCAAAGCACCCAAACCCTGCAGCACACAGGGGCCCTGGCCAGACACAGTAACCCACAGCCCTCCTAGCACAGCATGACCCTATATGCAGTGGATGTGAGACAGCAAGAGCCCCCCCACACACACTGCAACTCTCTCAATCCCTGAATCCTGGGATGCATGGGGAGAGAAACTCTCCACTGAGCTACAGAGAGACCTGACAGCCACTTCCATCCCGCTGAGCACAGCACGGAGCAAGACTACCTGGGGCAGCTGTGGGGACACTCCCTACACCTCACTGAGGAGGAGGTGCAGGACACTCTAAGGAGAGAACATCATGCAGCCACCAGGCTACATCCCAGTAACCCCGAAGCCACCTGTCACCGTGTCCCAGACCCTGCTGGCAATGGCCCATAACAGCCTGCGTTCTGGCTGGCAGCCTGGCGCAAGAGCACCCCCTCCTCCTTTAGTATCTTTAAGCCAACCCGCAGCAATCAGGTGTGTGGTTCTCCTAAGCCGCTACCTGGTGACAGACAGACGACAGAGCAAGAGGACAGAGCTCTGCAGAGGAGATCTCGCAGCATCACTCCAGTCAGGGGCAGAACTGAATAGGGGCCAAGCGGGCTTCCTACCTAGACCCTGCCAGACCCCAAATTGCTCTCCGAAGGGGCAGCAGAGAGGGCAAGGCAACCAGGAACCACAGGAACACTCCGTGTTTCCAAACCCCAAGGCCCTTTCCAGACAGCTCTGCAGGAGCAGTTCCCTCTGGTCCCAGGGTCCAACAGCATGTGGCACCTGGAGGCAGCACACCTGACTCCTGAGACCCAGTGGGGAAGGGGCAGGAGCTTGATCCTGTCAGAGCTGATCCCACACAGAAGCCGCGCCTGCCACCACACCCTTCCCTGATCTCTTCTCACCTCCTTTCTTTCCTTTGCCACCCTGTCCCGGTCCCTTCTCACTGCTTCCCCAGCTGGCCTCAAACACCTAGGCTCAAGCTTCCTCCTGCCTCCCCCCTCCCCCCTCCAGCTGGTTTCTTCTAACTTTTTTAATTGGTTGATAGAAACTCTTAAAGTCAGTGAGTGACCTCCATGACAGCTGGGTTGTTCCACGTTCCACAGGGAAGTGCGGCGTTGCCTCTGCAGGTCATTTGAGGCCCCAGGCCAGAAGCCAGAGTCAACACAGCACCCGGGGAAGCCAGCAGCCTGCCCAGATGGGCAGGCCACCACCCAGCCTGAGGACCAGATGTGAAGAGAGCTCCCCAACTAGGGGAGGCCCCATGAAGAACACCCTCCAGGGACCCACCACACAGCAGTCTTACCAAGCCCAATAAGAGCCAAAGTTGGAAAAGGTAGGAGCTGACCAGGCTCCTGGCCTGCCGGGAGACAAGAATACACGGTGCGGGCTGGGGTCGTGGCTGAGTGGCAGAGTGCTTGCCTTGCACACGTGAGGCACTGGTTTTCGATCCTCAGCACCACATAAAAATGAATAAACAAAATACAGACACTGCCTCCATCTATAACTAAAAATTATTTTAAAAAAATACCTGGTGCTCTGATGGGCCCTCTCCTGAGACACCAGGTCTCCCGACAGAGGTCAACAGGAATTTCCCTGTGCTTAGGAAATAATTATTTTCAAATAGTTAAAAAAAAAAATGGTATTACCATGTTAACCTATTTCAATAGGTTTTAAAGTAAAAACCAGTTCTCCAGGAGGAGCAAATCAAAGAGCTCCCCTTCCTTCCCCACCTGGTCAGACGGGCACATGGCCTTGCTTCACTGCCCCACGCTGTCTCCCTTTGACTCCAGCTGAGCAGGGACAGAGCTGTAGGGTCAGCTCTGCCCTCAGCCACCTCTTAGCCCCCTGTGGCCACAGCCCAGTGAGAATGGTGGACTTGGCCCAAGCATGGGTGGTACAGGGCTCGGGCACAGAGGCCTCACCTGGAGGGACTTTGAGGGATGCGGGGCCCAAGCCTTGCACGGGGCAGTGCCAGGTCAAGTATAGCCAGAGTCCAATGAGACAGCAGCAGGACCTGCTGCAAAAGGAGCAGGAATGGCCTGCTGGCCTCCTGCGTCCATGATCCCGAGCCAGCACCAGGCTCTCCTGCAGCAGACATGGGAAGGACAGAGATGCAGACTTGCCATTCCCAGTGATGGACCCCAGTGACCAGGGGCTGGCAGTGCCCATGTTGAACCACCTTGGCGGCTCCAGAGAAGACCCAGGACCAAGAGCTCTCAGGTCCCAGGTCAGACAGGACATGGCAACTGCCAAGCAGCGTGCTAGCCCCAATCTAAGGCTGCACAAATGAGGAGGCCTCTGAAGACTGCCACGGAGGCTGCACGTCACTGTGAGGAAGAGCCAGGGACAGAAAGAGGAGACCCTCTCAGGCTGCAGTGATCTGGTGCCTTCTGTGCCCCTCATTTCAGGAGCCTTTCCCTCTTTCTCCTCGTCCCCACCCTGTCCCGTCCCGGCACCTTTGCCCTGCAGAGCCAGCTGCTGCCACCCCAGCCGACGGGCCACAGTCTGAGCAGTGCTGCCTGTGCAGCAGAAATGACCCCAGGAGGCCAGCCAGGCCTTGGGGCTGCCCACTTCTACAGCAGAACTTGGAATGGTGCCCAAGCTGCCCAACACAAACCACCACAGAACCTCAAGCTGCTGAGATCATCCCTGCTGCCACAGTGGACAAGAAGGCTAGCGTGTCTCTGACCTGGCTGAGACTCCTTCCTAATTCTGGCTCCCAGGGTTTCAGGTTAAAGACAGCAGTCTAGTGGGCACTACCAGAACAGTGACTCAAGGGTCACACACACCATGGCTGCTAAGTGCGACAGGCAGCCACACGGGAGGTCTCTGGACATCAGCACATGCAGACGTTCCCCAGAGAACCTTCTAAATGGTGGTGGGAAGAGCTGTGTGCCTTGGGCCATGACGTGCGCCCCACCCCATGCCCGTGTACCAAAGCACCACTCCAGGTGTCCAGCCAAGACAGCAGGTTCCCTCTACCCCATCACCTGCACAGGGCAATGGCTGCCAAGAGCAACAGCAGCCCTTCTGCTCCTGCCTCTCAGCCCCACTCACAGGGCAGAAAAACTCAGCACCCATCCTGGCCTTGACTTGCTCATGGAGTTCACACCAGGATGTCAGGCTGAAAAGACCAGAGGGCCCCCAGGTGTTCTGAGGGTAGGGGTCATCTCAGGAACTCACCACTGCCCTGGCCAGCTCCACACCGGGGTGTAAGATTCCGCCCCATGAGCAGGGTAATCAGTTGAAAGCTCCATGCTCTCGCTAAGGGTGGGGACTAGAATGAAGCAGGGGCAGCCTGGGGACCATGAGGGTCTGCATGGCAAGCAAGAGAAAGGAGGCCCTAGAACCAGCTCAGTTTACCACACAGCCAGAAAGAGCCCTCCCAGGACAGAGCAATCCTCAAAGACTAGCCTGAAGCACAGCAGCACCTGCCCAGGTACCACCAAAATCAACCTTGCAATGGCTGCAGTTGGAGGAGTGCAGCACCCCTGGGGCAGACCACCCAGGAGCCCATGCACACAGCAGACCTACAGGAGGACTCAGAGGCCCATCCCCCAACCAGAGGACAGCCAGCAACCTCCCCGGCACGGGTCAGTGTCCACAGCTGCCCCCAATGTCTACCTAAAGTGTCCATCTGCAACAACCCAAAATAGAGATACACAAAGGAACAGGAAAAGGTAGCCTGCACAGAGGGCAGAGAGCAGCCGCAAAGCAGGACCCACAGCCTTGGGGGAGGCATTGGACTCTGCAGGAAAAAAAAAAAGCCTTCAAGACAGTCATGGCAGATGTGCACAGAACCCAAGGAAACTGCAGCAACGTAAAGAATTAAAGGGCACTCGATGATGGCACCCAGCAACAGCATCAATAAAGGGGTAGAAAGGATGAGGAGAACCAGTGGGAATCCAGGTGAAGCACACACACAGAGGCTCTCGGCCAGCACCAGGCAGCAGACGGAGCTGGTTCAAGAGCATGACCTCAAAGACAGATCACCGGGGGCTGGAGCTGTGGCTCAGTGGTAGAGCGCTCGCCTAGCATGTGTGGGGCCCTGGGTTCGAACCACAGCACCACATGAAAAATAAATAAATAAAATAAAAATGATATTGTGGGGCTGGGGATGTGGCTCAAGCGGTAGCGCGCTCGCCTGGCATGCGTGCAGCCCGGGTTCCATCCTCAGCACCACATACAAACAAAGGTGTTGTGTCCGCCGAAAACTAAAAAATAAATATTAAAAAAAATTTTCTCTCTCTCTCTCTCTAAAAAAAAATGATATTGTGTCCAACTAAAATATTTTTTAAAAAAAAGACAGATCACTGAAGATGACATAGCCCAAAGCATGAGACAGAGGAGGAGTGGCAGTCCTGCACATACGACAGGCATGCTGCTGGGAGGAGAGGCCTGCACACCCAGACAGCCACACACCCACACTTCAGTCTCAGTGCTGACACTCAGTAAAAACCCAGGGTCCTGAAAGCAGAACAGGGAAATGGAGTCCCTTGCGAGGGCACCAATGAGAGTCACCGCAGGCTTCTCAGCAGCAGCAGCAGCAGCAGTGCCCAGGCAGCTGGCCAGGCACCAGAAAGAAGGCATCATCAACCACGGTCTGCACCTGCAAAACCCCTGTGCTTAAAGGAGGGCAAAATAAAACCAGAGAATGAAGAGAACAAAATCCCCAGAGGACAGGAAGGGGACGGGACTGTCTGTTGTCAACAGACCCACCTGCAGGGAAGGAAAGCCTATGAAGCACACAGTCAGAGCCAGCACCCACAGTCCTGCCAGAAGGTAATTCCGCAGGTTGCCCCAAAGACAAGCACAGGCTGCTGCTTTCCTCCCACGGCTCAAGAGCCGCTGTAGAGAAGAACCTGAACTTGAGGTCCTCGACACCAGCACCCAAGGTGGGCAGCTGGAGTGTTCTGGGAAGATGACTGAGGCAGTCACTCTAACAGTGAGGACAAGGAAGAGGCAGAGCAAGCAGGGCTGACCCAGGAGACCAACAACTGCTCTCTCTCTTCCCTCGTGCCTCAGTGTCTGAGGACGTGTAGCCACATAAAGCAGCAGTCAGAACACTGCACCATTAGGTGTGTGACCTACCTGGACACAATGTGTAGCCTCATCTCCCACAGAGGGAGTAACTGCACAGGAGCAAAGTTTCTGTATCTCATTAAAATTCGTCTGGGCTATGTTTGAAGCAGATTCTGGAGAGTTAAAATGCATACTGCAATCCTCAGAGCAACTACCAAGAAAGTACCTCTCACATGTAGTTAAAAATCACTAAAGGAATTAAAATGTTACACGAGAATTAAAATGTTACAAAAGAAACTGCAAAGGCACAAGGGCTGGGGAACACCCAGGCACTTCAAAGGCAGAAGGAAAACTGCAGATATAAATTCAAACATCCACGGTATGTGTGAGTCAAATAAGCAATCAGAATGCCAAAATAAACTTCCTAAAGACCTGTGTGCTGTCTACAGAGGATGCCCTTTAGATTCCCATACAAAAACGTGTAAAAGAACAGAAAAAGATACACAACTCAAATAGCAAACATAGACCCATGGCTCCACTAATACCAGAGTAGGCTTGAAACAAAAGCACCACTAGAGACAGGGTCATTCTACATGAAGACACAGCACCTACCAAGCACATCCCACAAGCACACCCCAGAACACACCAGGAAAGCCACAAGGGAAAGGAAGGAAGTCAACTCAGAAACAGCTGGAGACTTTGTATCAGCTTTGTAACACTTAGGTGAAGAACCAGAAAGAGACCTGAGCCTGCACCTGGTAGGGCACACCTCCCAAGCGAGCCTGGACTGCTCTCCAGAAGAGACCCACGGCGCCTGGCAGCACAGGATGGTCTACAAATGCCACAGAATGAAAGCAATGTCCAAAAGAAACTCAGGAAATTCACAAACAGGTGGAAGCTGCAGATGCTCATAAACACACAGGGTCACAGGAGAAATTTGTAAGGAAACGGGAATCACTGAAATCACTCGCTAAAATCACTCATATGAATCTCCACCAGGAGAAACCTGGGGAGACGGAGGGAATGGACAGAATCCCACAGGGGAGCAGTACTCCTACAGTGGGGAAACCAAGGGAATGGACAGATACTAGCACAGACAAGCAACTGCAATTGCTGCAGGAAGAAACAAAGCAGGCCTGCATTTATAAGAGTGTGAGTTCATTCAAATCTTCCCGGGAGAAACCCCTATGCCCAGATGACTACTTGATGCAAATCCTTCTCAAACTCATGTAAGGAACAGAGTAGAAGGGAACTCCTTCCTCCCCACTCACGTCCTATGGTCATTATTACCCTGAGTCCCAAGTCGTAGCCACAAAACTGCCCTCTCACATCTTTATGACATGGACACAAGATACCCTCCCACCTAGAGCAAACAGCACCTGGCAACACATAGAAGCATTTAACACACCACCAGGAATTTAAGAGTGGCTCAGCACACAAAGTCAGCCAATGATTCTCCACATCATCAGAGGAAAAGCCAAGGCCACGTGGCCACTCCACAGTTTCAGCCAAGCACCTGCAAACCTTTAACACCACTTTAGAGGAACGGAGGCCTCACAAGCCCAAGAGCAGGATGGGGTGTCCACTCGTACCAGGTCCAGCCAAGCAGTCCAGCAGGAAATGAAAAATAGCCAGATCAGGAAAAAAGATGCAGTCTGTGTTCACAGATGACAGGATCACAGCGAATCCTAAGCAATCCACTAAAGATCAGCTAGGGTGGGCAGACTTCTGCAAAGCCGCACAACACAGGAGGTTATGTAAGACTCAGTTCCACCAGGCAGCAGTGAAGGATGCTGGATGGAATGAAGGAGACACTGGCCTCTTCCTCCCTCCCTCCCTCCTTCCTCCCTCCTTCCTCCCTCCCACCCATCTCTCCTTCCTTCCTTTCCTTCCTTCCCACCTTCCATCCTCCTGCTTTCTCTCCCTCCTTCCTTCCTTCATCCTTCTCTCCTTCCTCTCATTCCCTTCTTCCTTACCTTCCTTCCTTCTTTCCACCTTCTTCCTCCCTCCCTCCATCTCCTCCTCCCCATTCAGAAAATGGATGGGCTTCTAAGGAAGAAGGGTTCATGCTTGGGGCAGCAGAGCCAGGGGTTGGTTAGCTCAGGAGACACAGCATGCACCGTGGGAGGAAGCACAGAGGAAGAACTGGCAGACAAAGCTGAGAAGTGACAGGGACGCACATGGGGGCATCCTCATGCAGCGTACATACCCAGATAGGACCGCCTGGGCGGGGCTTTGGGCTCTTCATCCCTGCTGTCTCCAGCTTCATTCAAAAAGAGAGAAGAACAAAGATGGAAGGAAGGGAGGAAATAAGGAAGGAAGGAAAGAAAGAAAGAGAAAGACAAAAACAGACTGGTTTTAACACTGCAGACTGAGGTTCCCAGCCCTTTGTGTATTTCTTGAACACACATACACACACACACTGGAACAGAAGGACTGTAAGAACTCCATTTCTGTGCTTTGGAAATTCACTTTCTAAACCATTCTCCAAGCCTACCCTTTCCCATTATCCTAAGGAAGTGAACAGAGGAAACAAACGAAGACTCCATCGCCCCCTTGTCACTGTCTCTAAAATCAGACAGCATGGAGCTTCCATGGTGCCCCAGGGGCAGCCACAGGGCCAGCTCCACCCAGTCCCCAGCCAGCACTGTGCCAGCTGCGCCCACAGGCTGCTTGATAGCATAGCTTTGGGACACATGCAGTGACCTGTCCACCACCAAAGGACAGCTGACTCGACATAAAAGAGACAAGCCACAGTACAGAGATAGCCGGAGCTCCCAAGGTCAGTCATGGTCAATCCTCCTGCTGCACTGCCCTCCATGGCCAGGATGCTAGACAGCTCAGCAAAGCCTCATGTGGTCCTGGAGGGAAACAGCTGGACAGAGGGTGTTAGGAGCTGAGCTCCTGCCCCACCATGGTGGACGACACCTTAAAGTCAGCTGTCACAACAAACAGGCGAATGCAGACACAGAGGAGCCCCACAGCCTAGATGCAAGGCCACTCTGCTCACCACCCAAGGGCAGCACCCCCAGACAGCTTTCCCACCTGTCACTACCCAGCACCATGGGCTTGGCCAATTCACTGCCCACGGGCACCTCTTCTAAAGATCAGATCCACTGAAAGGGGAAGGGAGAGAACATGCTGGGACATTCTGGCATAAAACGTACCCAGAGTAAGAGCCCAGGGGTGGAAGACAGATCCAGTACCTAGGCAAAACCCACCTGGATTTCCCTGGACACACCTGCACCACCCAATGTTTCCCACCTGGAAGGCCAGATGGTCAGAGCCACTACATTTGAGAACATCTGCAGGACAGATGGGAGGAATGTCCGAGGCTGACACCAGGGAATGCTTCCAAGAACCCTGTACTCCATGCTGAGCAGGGATCCAGCAGGCACCAGGACCCTGATGTGGCTGGCAGCATGTCTGCCCACAGCTTCCTCAGACCCTCCAGGTCCTTGCCAGGTGGAGAGGTACACTGGCTCCAGTCCATGGAAGCGGACTGTCGACTTCCAAGACTAGGTCCCAAGGAAGAAGCAGCTTCCTCCACACTCACCAGAGGTGCTCGCCCTGGGAACCTGAAGCCATGCTGTGAGGGAACCCAGGCCTGTGAGGAGTCGCCGTGGGTGTGCCAGCCAGGGCCGGGTGACACCAGGCGAGAGGGAGCAGGGAGTGAGGAGGGGCACCTGCAAGTCAGTGAGCCTCAGCTCCCAGCCTCAGCCTCCAGGCCTCCCTAGCTGACACTAAGGACAACGGGCACAAGCTGTAGGGACAAGCTCCACCTTGACTGTCCCTTGAGTCCTCAGTTTGGGGTAACAGACAGCAGGGCACCAGGTGATGAGGCTGAAGCTCAGGGTGGGCTGGAACAGGACGACCTGTCGCACAGGCAGAGAGTCATCAGGAGAGTCACTGTGGCTAGCACACGCACACCGGGAGGGGACAGTGGCAGCAGGTGGGACCAGGGAGGTGAGGACTGATGAGCCTTGTCCCAGGGGCCCGAGCCAGACAGAGGGCACCATCCCACACACCCCTTCAGTCCCAAGACTGCTGCTCTGAGCCCCCGCGCAGACGGAACGACCACCCAGAGGCCCTACCACAGACAGGTGCTCCTCCCTGGAGCTCTGAGTGCTAAGAGCTGGGGAAATGTCAGATGATCCAATCACCTGACTTCAGGCCACAATTTTGTTATTCAAATAACTCCTATGACAAATTTAAAAGGAAAAAATACATCATAAACAGAGTTAGATTTTTAAAAAGCAGTCTCACATGATGGCCATGCCTGCAATCTCAGGGACTCAGGAGGCTGAGGCAGGAAGATTGCAAGTTCAAGGCCAGCCTCAGCAACTTAGTGAGACCCTAAGCAACTTAGTGAGACCTATCTCAAAAAGGGTTGGGGATGTGGCTCAGTGGTTAAGTGTCCCTGGGTTCAAACCCTGGTTCAAATAAATAAATAAATAAAATGACTGAAGTCAGCTCAAGTGTGTCAGCCTGCAGTATGCCCACAACGAGGCATCATTCTCACAACACCCATCCCTGGGGGTGGTACTCTAAGTAGGTGCAGTTCTGAGCCTCCAGCCCCTCCAGCCTATTCCAGCAAATGTCTGGAAGCAGCCTCAGATGATGGCAAGCAGTGGGCCAAAGATGGTGGTGATCTGTGCCGTCACTCCTATGGCTCCTAAGTCATGGGGGTGACGTGGGTGGGGGGCCAGGGCCATGACGGAAGAGGCCCAGTCAACCCCAGGTCTGGGGCTGACAGGCAGAACCATGTGCTGCCAGGAAGCATTTCATCTCATGGGAAACAGCCCCACCTCCACCCCAAAACACCAAACAGCAATCAGACCCTACCACCAGCCCTGCAGACTGCCTGCAGATACCAGAGCTACTCAAAAATGTCGTACCGCAAACGTGCACTCTGCATGTTCTTCACACTTAGACAACAAATACATAATCTTTAAATCGAACCCGCCCTGCGTTGTTTCCTTAATCTCACCTTGCAAATTGAATTTGCAAACTTCAAATTTAAAAATCCTATAAAAGATGGTGGGAAAATGTTTACCTCTTATTTTCAGGCCATCTGACTGTTCTATTGAAACAAGGTCATTCTGAAGTTTCTCCTTGAACCACTCCGGCTCATGATCACTGTGCCAGGACTTGAGTCTGCCATGACACAAGGCATCACCCACCCCTGTTCCTGGGTAGCCCCAGCGTGCACTCCGACCCAAGGTCCTAGTGTGGGATGTACAGACACTGGCAGGAAGAGCAGCACTGTGGTGAGCACGTCAGCACAGGGTTCCTGGTTTCCATACACCCATCTTCCACTTCTTACACACAGTGGACAGGACACCACAAACATGAACAGGATTCCAACCCTAAAAGGGCTGAGGATGAAAACCTCGGGAATTTTTAGGCATGGACTGCCGTCCCAGTACAGAGGATCTATGGCCTGTCAGGAGCCCCAGGGTCAGCAGGCAGAGGTCCTGCCTCCTCCCTCAGGCTGGATTAACACAGGACCACCTCCCCACGAGGACCCCAACTTCCTCCACACCTGCAGAGCCCTTAGCCAGGCGAGGGTCCCAGGACCGATGCATCTCTGTGGCCAGTATTCTGCCCATCACAGGAGCACTGGTTCAAACTTCAGGCTCCAGCCTGTTATCGTTTGGATATGAGTTGTCCCTGAAAGCTCATGCTGGACAATGAAGGAGTGTTCAAGAGTAAGACGACTCGATTATGAGAATCCACTTGATGGGTTAATCATCAAAATGGATTAATGTGGTAGCTATAGGAAAGTAGAGTGTGAGGCTGGGGGTGTGCCTTTGGGGTACATACTTGTCCCCAGTACTCCCAGCTCTCTCTCTGGCTGCTTCCTGGCTGCCTTGAATGGATGGCACTCCTCCTCCATGCCCTCTGCCATGACGTCCTGCCTGGCCACGGGCCCAGAGCCATGGAGTTGCCCACCATGGACTGAACCTCTGGAACTGTGAGCCAAAATAACCCTTCCCTCCTCTAAGCTGTTCTTGTGGGGTATTTTGGCCACAGCAACAAAATCTGAGGAAAACAGAAATCTAGCCCTGAAAACAGGGGCCACTATTTTAATTCAATCCTAGTTAGAACAGAAACAGTCCTTAGGAATAATTCCCCGGACAACAGGAACCACTAACACGTAAAGGGAGGCTAGCCAGAGATCCAGTCCCCTGGCTTCCCTGTGAAACCTCCATGGGGTCCCCAGGAGACGAAAATCTGCCCTCACCTGAACCAGAACCCGCTGGAAGCCTGAGGAAGGGGCTGTGGGACACAGGTTCTGGAGGCAGACAATGCTAGGCTCCGGGCCTGCCCTCCCCCCAGTGCACATTGTGCTGTATGCCGCCTACCCTCAGTCCCCGGGCCCCCGAGGCTTCACGTGTCACAAAGTCTACTCTGACGCTCAGAGACGGGCAGCACCAACACAAGCTGTTGTTTGGTACCTTGGGTGCTACTGTGCCCCCTCAGCCTTTTGGCATTCCCCCATGAGAACACGACTGAGGGCACCCCCATCCCCCAGCCAGTCAGGGCACCTGCTCTGTCTTGAGCCAAGGCTCAGGGACATGGATCCTGCCACGGGAAGCTCAGGCCACCCAGAGAGGGGGCAAAGCTGGCAGGAAGTAAACCCAAGCCACCCCGCAAGACCTGAAACCGTGACTCTTTGCTCACACTGAAGCTGGCCCCCTAGGAAGCCCAGCCTTCCAGGCAAGGTGGGCAGCACCACTGGCACTAGCCCCAGCACACCTACAGCCAATCACACAAGAGGGCAGAGAGTGGGGAGAAAGGACAGATACACACCAGAAAACAGATGGCCTTGGTGGCCATCTCTAGTTACGGTAACACTCATTGGTCTAGGACCTCCCTCAGAGAGAGAAGGTGACCCACTTTCTACCAAGACTGAAACTAGCCCCATTCATCTCACTCTAAAACAGACATGCAGAGAAAGAGAAGGAAGGAGCTTGCCAGTGCGACGAAAATAATGATCAAAAATGAAAATACCTGGCAAGACTCCAACTTCCCAGCACCCCAAAACTGAATGACTCTGGGGAAAATCATCTTGTAAGCAACCACTGAGATTACGCACATACACAACCTCAGACAAAGCACAGCATGTGCTGTCTTCAGCTCAGTGATGGGAAAACGACATAAGGCACTGCCCCTCCTGCACACGAGAAGCCCACCAGCCTGCGACTGCAACGCAGAATGTCAGACTCCAGGAACTTCTTCAGGAGGAGGCAAACGCAGGAAGAAGTGCATTCCATTTTCCAAGCTAAGCTGTGTGAGCTGGACGTGAACTGGCCCTGCCCCAGTTAACACCAGTGTGCACCAATCCAGGTGAAGCAGGCTCCTGGTGAGAGCCAAAGGCTGTGGCCTCACACGGGCAGCACCCAACATCAGAAACCCTGCCTCCTCAGGCCCCATCTTCTGTGACAGGACACAGACAGACTTCTGGCTCCCATACTGCACAGCACCTGATGGCCACAGCAAAAAGGCCACCGAGATAGGTTAATGCCTCAGCGACCTCTAGTGAGGAAACCAACCTGGAACCGTTTCCCTCTTGCAGAGCAGTGCTGAGACACTGCTGTCCATCACAGATAGCAGCTGCTTGGTGAAATGAAAGTTGCTGAGGTAACACAGTGGCTTGTGTTTCACCAAGTGAGCAGGAGACGGTTTTTGGTGGATGAGTAAGAAGTCATTTCCAGAGGCTGCCGAGCACCAACCTGCAAAGGAGCGGCGTTTCAGGTTCAGCTCGCTGGCCACCCGGACCTCGGTGCACAGCTTCAGCATCAGCAGCATGGTCAGGGTCATGACGATGCTCTGCCACAGCAGCGGGGACTCGAAGCGCCTTCCAAACCTGGGCAGCAGAGACTACAAGTCAGGGAGGAGCTGCAGGCCAGGCCTGACTCTCAGCCAGCGCCAACAGGTGAGTGGGGACAGAGAGCCCCAGGGCCTTAGACATCCATGGCCGCTATGGCACTGGCTGCCTGCTGCCTCCTCTTCCAGGCTCCATGTGGGATGGGCTGAGGTGGGGAGGGGCCTTGAGATCCAGGATAGACAGCCAGAGACCCTGAGCTCCATGCCCATGGGCCTTTCCACACACAATATTCTCCCCTCCAGGAAGTCTGCAGATCCCGCCTGAACCTGGCACCATGGGAAGGCCTACCTCTCCATCCCAGTAAACCCCAGATGCCAAGGCCTGTCATGCAGAGACCCCTGCCTCTACCAGGCCACAGAAGCCCTGCTTTCTGCCTGGGAGGCAGGTCACCAGAGCACCCAGAGTGTGCATGGAAGAGAAGGGACTCTCTCCAAACTCTAGCCTCTCCCACTAGAAGAGAAGGCAGCTAAGGGCATGGCTCTCCACCCCAGGCCCCCCGCACCATGCCACCCTCACTCCCAGACTAGCAGCCCAGTGCCAGCTGAGGTTCCTGCTAGTTTTCCACCAACACAGCCCACAAGCCCACGCAGGGCAGCAGCACAATCCAAGGCTGGTGTGACTGGGGTCTCCCCTACACCACCAGAACACTATGGAAAGTGACACGTGAGCCCCATCACCATCGCCCTGGCTAGACCTGGGACTGTGGCCCTCTCTGGGCACAGTTGCCACACCTGTAATCACAGTGACTGGGGAGGCTGAGGTAGGAGGATGGCAAGTCCAAGTCCAGCCTGGGCAACTCAGTAAGACCCTGTCTCAAAATAAAAAACAAAAAGGGCTGGGGATGTGGCTCAGTGCTACCACTCTGGGTTCAATCACCAGAGGAAGGAAGGAAGGAAAGAAAGCCTCCTCCCTCACCCTAACCTGACCACTCCAGCTAGAAATGGCCTCAGAGTTTGGCCTGAAAGGCATTTCCCCTGAACTTGGGGTCAACACACCACACTGGATGTCTTGCTAACTCCCAGCCTCTCCTCAACACTGAAGTTCACACACCACAGCCCCATCCCACAGTCACCTCTGAGGCCAGCATGGGTACAGGCAGCTGGAGGGCCTGTTACCGCAGCTCCTGAGCAGCGCCCACAGGAAGTGGCCCGTCCTCAGCACAGGGCAAAACTGGCAGAGTGGCCACTACTCAGGCCCACACACCCAGAGGCCTTGAGGATCTGCAGCCATGGCCAAACCTGCTCAGGAAATGCCTGCTACTGTGACAAGGAACATGCCAAAGTCACTCCATAAATTAAAATCAAAAAAAGTATTTATAAAACCTGGTGGTAACACTCCTCCCAGCAACTGGTACAAGACAAAACTGGATGTGGCCTGGTCTTCTAGCCTTGAAGAGTGTATATGAGAGCTCTACACAGTCCACGAGAAAAACAGTCCCCTTAACACAGAGAACAGATCCCGGATTCACCTGTGTGCTACCAGTCACCTTCTACAAGCCCAAACCTGGGAGCACAGTTCACTGCCAACATGAAACCTAACACAGTAGGCCTCTCCTTGCCCCTGCCCAGATCAGCAGGCCTAGCAGGTAATAAGTATGCCTGGGGGAGGAGGTGTGTGTAAGGGGACAGATTACAGGCAGGCCACTGGGAAAGTCTCAGAGAGTCTCCTGGGGGGGGGGGGGGGGGCAAGATGGAATCCACAGAAAGTAGGAAGAGAGCAACCTAGGCACAGGGTACATGGGGGGCCAGGGCACAGACAGGCAGGCCAGTGCATCCCCAGGAAGTGTCATCAGAGCCCTCCCTGGGAGGCCACCAGGAAATACCAGGTGAGGAACTAAGAAGAGGCTAGAACAAGACAGGGTGTGGAAGCCAGACCCAGGTCAGGAGGTCCAGCTGGAAAGAGGCAGCTGCAACAGGGGTTTCTGAGTCACAGGCAAGGGCTGGTGCAGTGGACTTAGGCATGCTGCCCACGTGTGCCTGTAGTCATGTGCTGCAACAGCTAATGTCCCTGGGACCCTCCATCCGCAAACCTGTCTCTTCACCTGTGAAGTGTAGGACATATGTAAGGTTGCGGGGGTTACAGAGCCAACCACAGTCCCTCTCAGGCTGGCTCCCCACCAGCTACCTGGCTGTCCAACTTACCCCAAGGCAGTCAGGTGAGGGAGTGGGAAGCCTCGGGGTCACTATGTAAGCCTGCAGCACAATAAAATGAATTCCTGAATCAAGTTCTCAACAGGGGCCCTTCAACAAATGGCCACTGTGACCAAAAGACTACTTCCAATTTTATAGATATTCAACAGAAACACAGCAACTAGAAAAACTGGAGAAAGCAGTTGAAGTTTGCACTCCCCCATACCATACCACCAATCAGATTTAACTGATGTCCACAGAGAAGATGGTCCAGGAGATCTCACCCAGGGCCAGAGGGAACAGAGCTGGACATACAGCTAGCTGACTACAGGTGAGTACAGACCAAGCAGGAGACAAAACATCAAAAGGCACACTTTCCACAAAAAAATATACAAAGGACAAAAGAAAAATAAACCAAAGCTCAATATCATTAATCTTTTAAAAAATATTTGTTTTTATTTGCAGATGGACATGATATCTTCATTTATTTATTTTTATGTATTGCTGAAGAATAAACCCAGAGCCCCACATGCACGAGGCAGGTGCTATACCACTGAGCCACAGCCACAGCCCAACATCATTAATTTTTAAAAGATAATTTAAATAGAAAGGTGCTGGTCTTTACTTTTCAGGATTCATGAGTCTGGCTGGCAAGGTGTTCAACAGCTCCTGCTCTCCTGCCTGAGGATGTGAGTGAGCACAGCATCTCTGAGGGCCAGCAGCCCTGTTCCTAGAGCCACTCTGAACACCCCATCCAAGTGGGCTCTGGTGGGGTGCAGGTGCCCATGCTGCCCCCAGGGGCACACAAAGTCCTGCAATCTATTCTACAGACAGCTTCTCCACCTTCCACAGTAATAGAAAAACTCAAGTGGAAAAAAAGTTAATAGCTACTCCTCAGTGCTGAAGATATCACTCAGTAGCATAATGTTACTGCATCTCAGATACAGTGTTTCCATTCTTACAACTAACCCTGCAAGAGGCAGCAGAGGCTGAGCTATGCGACCTGTGCCTCACAGATTCCATAATGAGATCACAAGGCTCTGGGACCCAGCCCTCCTTGCCCACTCACCCCCCAGACCTATAAATGTGATCCAAATAATCACATGGCACTTCTGACTTCTGACACCACAAACACCAAATTCCACATTGACATTTCATGGAGTGTGATCTGCTGAATGCTAGTTTTGCAAAATGACAAAAATTGTAAGAAATGAGGCCATGAGAGTTACATAAGTTTCAGAATCCTTGAGTTTACACTCAAATCAGCCCCTTCCTGCAGGACTGTAGAGCAGCTCTCAATAGGGGTAGGACATATCACAGGGGATCGGAGGTCTGAGGTCTGAATCCCAGCCAGCACTGTGAAATCCATGAAGCCTCCAGCTCCACCACCATCCTGGTATGTAGCAGGCTCCAGTTTCACCTACTCTGCCTCACCCACAACCACTCTGAGTGTTCCTGGGGGGTGGGGCACATATACACCTGCATGTGTGCATGGTGGTACATTTCAAGTATCACTCCTGCTAAAGCAAAAGCCCCGTGGCCCTGGCCATGCCTGACATCAGGGAAATCCTCAAAATCTGTAGGATCAGAGGTTGCTGGCCTGGAGCTTGGAAGGAGACATGCACAGGGCTCTGAGGGGCTCCAGGGATATAAGGATCAGCACATGGCCTTGGCCAGCAGGGTTTCCAAGGTCCTTCAGCAGCACTGGGGACATGTGGCAGACTACCCTCAGGCCCACTGCGCAAGAAACAGGGAAGGGACAGGCTAGGCTGCAGACCAGAGAAGGGCCATCACCCTCTGGGTCCTCCTCCCAGTCTTCTGGAACATGCTGGGGAGCCAGGGCCTATATGTGACCATAGAAGCCTGAGTGGCCCAGGACAGCTCAGTATGTGTTTCTACAGAAAGGAACACCTGCAGACAAGCCTGGCATCCCCAGAAAGGTGGCCCTGTAACCCCTAGGAGAGCACTCAAGGGCCTCAGAGGCCCCAGCGCAAAGGCAAGGACACCAGTTCCTGTGTACTTCTCCCCTGGGAGCACTAGGGGCAGTCCCCAGGCAACACCAGGAAACTGGCCTCACTTATGACTTCCCCACACCATGTGCTCAAATGTACATTAAAACTTTATTTTCTTTTTTTAATTCTGAACAATAGCATACTGATGGAAACACTCAAAGGGGCACTTTTTCCCATTCATCAATCAACTTCATGTGATTCTCCTCTGTTCTGGAGAAAGACAAGCATGCCCTCCTTCACAGTCTGGACACTGTGCCCGGGCTGCACTGAGGAGCCTGTCTGGGAGTGTGCCCTGCTCTGTTCATGCTCAAGGCGAACGACATCATTGAACACAATTTTATCTCGGAAGATATTTCCATTCAACCTGAGATAAGTCCACTTCAGGGCACCCAGTCCCATCACGGGGTAGCTAGGGACCTCCACCCTCAGCCAAGGGACAAGGAGGAGGAAGGGAAAAATCTTCAAAACGTGGTCTTACAACTTTCTTCAGACAACAGTAAGAGCCTCCTCAGAAGTCTCCTGGCCCAGAGACAAAGCTCAAGGTATCCAACATTGCTGCAATGGCCAAACCTTCCCACTCCACCAAATTCTTACACGATTCAACTCACTAGTTTGACTTCTAAAAATCCCAGACAGGGGCAAAACCCATCCCAGGGCTATTCAGCATCTGGCCCAGGGCAGAGCAGAAAGAGAGAACCTGCAGCTCCTGAGTTCAGGGAGTCTCGCATTGGAATGTACACTTCAAACAGGGACATTTTACTTAGTGTGAATCATACCTCACTAAGGTCGGCTTGGTGCTACTGGTTTGATGCTAAAAGGCAGATACATGATTACTCAAACTGCATCCAGAAACTGGGAAACTGCCTGAGCCTTTCTTCTGGGCCGCTTCAGCTGACCACCCTCATGAAAATTTCCTATCAGCACAGAAGCCTTGGGACCAGTCAGAAGAAGGAAAAATGCCAGACCTCTTTAACCTTAGGATGAGGCTCTGATATCTCTCTCTTCAGTTCCTCTGAAAATTCACCCTCCAAATTATGTCTGCTTTAGCAACTGTTAAACTAACCTCAACTTCCTCGCAGAACACAAATGAGAGCAAGAGGAAGCTGGCCTGAGAGAAGCAAGAAGACAGTCTCCAATTGAGTACTATCCAGAAGGTTGGACTTCCTTTCTAAGGAAAATAAAACCACACCAGCTAAGAGTCTGCCAGGCAGAGGGCCCCTTCCCACCACTAGAATCAGTCCCAGGAAATGCTCACAAAGAGGAAGTATCAGATACAGATAAGCCACTCATCAAATAAAAAGGCAGATCTGGAGACTGTATTTGAGAGTATTCCAACTTCTCCAGAGAAATAATCTCATTCTAAGAAGTTCAGTGACTGCGGAGGTCCCACACCAGCCACCTGTAAAATGGGCCCCTGAGCCACCCGAAGGTGTGAATGGGTCCCTTTGAGGAAGTAGACACCTCCACCCTCGCCTCTCATCTGGAACAAACCCCAAAAGAGAATGCCATCTCCCCAGGCACCCTCAGGTCAAAGCCCCAGCTTACCAGAAGAGTATCCGTAGAATATTGGCCACCAGTAGCACCAGACACACGTGGGTGGAAAAGCCGTCGGCGTTCTGAGTCCTCCTGATGTCCCTGTACTGCGGGATGTACGGCACCACGCCCCCAAAAACCATGGCTGCGGCGGCCCCCCAGGAAACCAGCCGATGTAGCGGGACCAGAAGCCAATCCAAACCTTCTGCCTCCATCCCGGGCACCCGGCAGCCCTGCCGTCCGGCCGAAGTCCACCTGGCACGAGCCCCAGCGCTCTCACAGCTCCAGAATCCGCACAGTGACGTTCCCCTCTACATTGCAGCCGCTCTCCTGCGCGATCCTCCACCATCGGGGTCTGGCAATGGGGGACGAGAGTAAAGAACTCCTGGTAGAAGCTCGGCTCCGGCGCACCACTTCCCGCTGCCCAGCTGAAGGGCCTGTGCGGCCAGTGAGGGCGGCGCTCCGGAGGCCGAAGCTGACGCTCGCACCAAGGGCACCTCAGGGCTGGCGGCCGGGGCAGGACCCCCTCCCGGGACCGGGGCGGCTCTGGGAGCTGGAGACCCGCGCCGGGCCTTCTGTCCAGCAGGCAGCTGGGAGGACGGAGAGCGCCTGGCCGGAGCGGGGAAGGGCGCAAGGCCGGGAAGCGGGGTGAAATGGGAGGAGGGTGCATGGCGGTGGGAGGAGAGCGCACGGCCTTGGGGTAGAGTAAGAGGAGGGTGCATGTGGGTGGGGAGGGCGTACGGCGGGAGGAAGTCACCACTGGGGTGACAGGGCCGGGGGAGCAAGTCCGCCGTGGGGGAAGGGCGGGCGCGCGGCCCGGCGGGGGGTTCGGGGCGCGGCGGAGGCCGTGATCGCGTGGCCGACCCGGTGTCCTCGACCCCCCTAGGGCGTCTCAGAGCGCACCCCGAGGAGGACAGACGGCCGGGCGGCCCCGCGCCCCTTACCCGCGCTTGCCACGCCGGTCTGTCTGTCAGTCTGTCCGCGAGGGCGGGGAGCGCGCCCCTGCGACGTCACAATGGAAGGCCCCGCCCACTCCGGGCCCGCAGGAAGGCGGCGCGGGTCCTAGCGCTCGCCAGCCAGGGCGTGACGACGCCGAGGACCCGACCCCCGGCTCCGTGGGGGCGGGAAGGGGCGGTGGGCGTTGGGCTCCACCCCTCTAGGCAGCCGGGGTTAGGAAATTGCTGGCGGGCTGGGCAAGTCTTCGGGTGCCCGAGTGAACCTGTTTCCATCAGCCCCGGCTCGCGAATGGGGTCGGTGTAGACGCAGAGCGCTGCCACCTAGAGCCAAGGACGCAGTCCTGGGGAACCAGAGGGAGCCCTGGCCAGGGAAGTCCCGTCCTGGGGAAAGTCGCCGGGCGCCCTGCGGGTAACAGAGGAGCCTGTGCGGGGCTGGCCACGCTGGTCCAGTTCGGAAGTTCACAGTCCTGGAGACCACTGAGCCCTGGAGGAGTCGCACAGGTCCCAGCGGGGTTGGGTTTCTCTCCAGGAAACGGAACCCTGCCCTGTGCAGGGTCATAGACATTTCCTCCATTCCAGGGACAGCGGCCCAGGCGTCACCGTCACCGCGGCGGAAGCTTCCTGGGCGCTCTTAGCTGCTGGGCGACTCCTGAGCTGGCATCAGCTGGCATCAGCACACCAGTGTGCCCAGTTTGTTGAGCCTCTCCTTCTGCCTTCGGTTGTATGTGGTCAATCCTCAGGATGCCCGTTGAAGGAAAAAGAACAAAGGAATTCCTGAGTGTGTCCGCTGGCCTGGGAGTGCTGGAGTGGAGCCCACCCCAAGACCTGCTAGGGACCCTGGGAGGCCAGCCTCCAGGGCAGAGAAGAAGACCACAGTCCCTTAGGAAACACTCACACACACCGGCTTTGCTGGAGGCCCTTCCTACCAAGGGGAGCATCACAGAAGGGGCACTAAAACGCAGGTGGGTGGGGGCCATGGCTCCAAGTGTTGCCGGTCTCCTCACCAGTTCACCCCTCTCCCAGATCTAGTTAGCCTGGCCTCCTGTTTCCCAGTCTGCTGGCATTGTGGGAAACCGTGAGCATACTGATCTAAGAGCAGGAACACTGACCAGCAGCCTGACCCCAAAGACCTAAGTGAGTACATCTCTCACCTCTGTTGTAGCTTGGAACTTAAGTGTCCCCTAAAGGCCACATGTTGGTGGCTGGGTCCCCCGCTGATGGAACTCTTGGGATGTGGTGGAACCAGAGGAGATGGGCCTGGTGGAAAGAAGTGAGGTCTCTGGGGACATGCCATGAGGTGGGCAGCTTTGCTCTACCACATACTCCCTGCCATGCTCTGCCTGGACACAGGCCAGAATGTTGGGACCTCCAAAACCATGAGCCAAAATAAATCTTTCCTTCTTTTAAGTTCATACTCTCAGGTATTTTGTCACAGTGGCAGAAAGCTGATGAACACAGCCTCCAACCTCCAAGGCTCAGAGACATTTTCTCTGAGCCAACACCGTTCAGTGTTCAGCAGCAGAAACCCACACAGGAACAGACAAAAAAGATTGTGGCAGGGTCAAGAGCAAAAACTATCCCACCCTCCCCCACATGCTAAATCATCTAGAATGTTCCCATTCCTGACTCACAGGGGCATCTAGGGAGTCACAGCTGCACACCTTGTTTGTCCTGTTATCTACGAGGTCATGGAGTCACTCAGGCAAGTTGGCTTTCTACTGCTCAATGTTATTGGGGATCCCTCCAGGACAGCCTTGCATTCTGGTCCTGGGCCACCCCCACAGACAGAGGCAAACTGTGGTCTGCAGAGCTGGCTTCACATTTTCATGTCCCCTGCCCTGGGATCCAAGCAGAAGGATATCCAGCTCACCACAGATGCTGCACCTGTACCTAACTCCTGCCTTCCCAAGGAAGCCAGCCACACTGTGTGGTGAAAAGTGATCCGAGATGTCCTAACTCCAACAGCCTGTGAGGGCTTCTGTACACAGAAAACACTAGTTTTTGTTTTTGTTTTTGGCAGATGCAATTAAGGGTCTAGAGACAGGGAGGTCATCCTGTGGCCCCAAATACAGTCTCATGTATCTCTGTAACCAGGAGGCAGGAAGCTTGACCCAAGGAGAGAAGGCATGTAAAGATGGAGCAGATAGGTTTGAAACTGAGGCCTTGGGAGCTGAAGGGCTGCAGCCACAGCCAGGGACACCTGTGGCCAGCAGGTTTGGGTTCTCTCCAGGAGCCGTGGAGGTGCCTGGCCTGCCAACACTCTATTTCCACCCTGTAAAACGATTCAGACTTCCAGCCTGGAGAACTGGAAAGAATGACGTTCTACTGTTAAAGCCTCCTGGGTGGTGGTCATTTGTTACAGGGGCCACAGCAACCTGACGCAGGGCCCAGCAACAGGTGATGACCAGCCATTGGACCTTGGTCTTGAGAGGAAGCTGAGCTACTCCAAGCACTTCTGCCAGCTCCGTTGGGGAAAATCAAGTCACCAGGTTTGCCCCCCCACCCCAGGAGACCCATTAAAGCCTGAATCCGACTGGGAGCCACTTCAGCAGGTGCCTAACAAACTATACTTCTATAGGAGCAAATCCAAATCACCCTAGTCATGACAGCTGGGCCTTAGAGGAGACTTCCCTATTCCCCGCCCACCTTTCCCTCCAGGAAAATACAAAGGAGGGTGATTGGAGATGCCACCCCAGGACCAGGGTTAGGGCTCAGAAAAGGAATCCTGCTAGAGAGAATTTATAGTGTGCCGCAGTCTGGCTGGGCACAGAATAACCAGGCCACCACACCGCCTTGTAGATTCAAACAGCAATTCTTTATTCCCGAACTCTCACCAGCACTCTACACGCACGTTCTGGGAAAATTTATCCCCCACCGGGCTCTGCGTACCAAATACCCTCTGAACTCAACGGGACTCCAGGAGCGGGCACCTGAGGCAGCAGGATATGCCCTATTCCAGCAGGATCCACCCTAAACCTGGAGCCACCCTAATCCAGCAGGATCCACCCTAAACCCGGAGCCACCCTAATCCAGCAGGATCCACCCTAAACCCGGAGCCACCCTAATCCAGCAGGATCCACCCTAAACCTGGAGCCACCCTAATCCCCGAGCAGGGTCACCTTTCAACCAAAAATGCCGTGCGTCATGGCTCTCAGCAGTAGTGCAAAATGTGCGTTTGCTTGCAGGTGTTCTTTGTTCTTGTTTATGACTTTCTTCTCATCCTCTGCCCACCCTGTTCCCTCACTGTCATTGGTGTGAGCACACTGGCCTCCCAGAGGACACACACCCCACCCCTTCCCTGCATCTGCTGGGTGGGCCTCAGCTCTCAGCCCAGGCAGGGCCCCTGCAGCTTCCCTGTAGGAGCCAGACATGGAAACTTTTCACCTAGAAAAGCAGCCTTTTCATTTTTTCTCAGAGTTGGTGTTTGATTCCCAAACAATTCTGGGGCATGGTATTTGGCCTGGAAAACACTTGGAGAGGCCTGGGACGCTGCTGCGGAGCACCTTCACGAATTCAGGCGGTGTGAAAACCAACCCAGCAGCTGCACATGGTAATTCCGTGTATATCACATCTTTAAAGGGCCAAAACTTCAGAAACAGAGGAAAGATCAAGGATTTGCACTGGGGACAGCATGAGGGGTGGTGGGTGGGCTGGATCCTGGGGGTGATGGAACAGCCCATCATGTACCTTGATGCACACAGGAACACCCAGTCAAAAGTGATCCAAATGCAGAAAGGGGGTGTGCTGTGCTGCTTACAACTGCATGTGGGTCTGTAGTTGCCTCAAGAGAACAGTCCAATGAGGCACTCAGTGAAAAGTGGCATAGTACTGAAATGTATCCAGTCAGACACCAGGTAGGTCCAGGTCAAGGCATGTGCCCTCTGCCCACAAGGGCTTTTGAGGAAACCCATACCTCTTTAAGGCTAAATTGACATCATTTCAAAATTCTTAATAATGTCCACCCACAAGAGCACCTGAGGATAAAACAGTGGCCACCTGGTGACCCTTGGGTTTACATGTGAGTATCATGGACCATGGCTTCAGCCAGAGCAGCAGAGGTGTGAGCTCCAATGCCCTGGCTTGCAGAATTTATAATGAATATCCTCAGTCTACTTAGCAAATGCTTGAAACCCCACAGATCTCACCAAGATATGTGTCAAGTACTCTATGTGCCCCTAGCTTCACACCAGTCACCCCACCCCCACACCACGGATGAAATCCAGGAGCCTCATTAGAGGGGCAGCACTGAGTCCTCTTCACAGGGATGTTGACTGGCCAGCTTCCACTCACTAATTCAGCAAATAAATTCCAGTATCTGCCATGTGTCAGCAGGCATTGTGCAAGGTGGATTTAGAGCTTTCCGTATAAATTTTGGAGTCTGAGGCCCAAAACACCATGCTGAGCGACAGAACAGATGGAGGACAGTCCCAAGAAAATGTACACATGCACATGTCCACTTTGAAACCCAGTGTCAGGGGCCACCCTGCACATGAGCTAGGCACACCCTGATTCCAATGCACATGCAGGACATGGGCAATAACCCACAGCAATGGCCCCTTGGGCTGGGGTGTGGTCAATGACAGAGATGTGTCACATCTCTGAGATGCTAGCACACTCCAGACCCTGGGTTCCATCCCCGGTGCTGAGAAAGGAAAAAGTGCTCCCAGGTCAGGCCAAAGTTAGGAAGGTGTGGGTTTTGCTCCCTGAGGGTTAATGGTCTTGCCTGGCACAAAGTCTCACACAGAAGCAGCCGCCTACCATCTGCTGGCTCATGTCACCAGCATCTCTGGGAAAGATCCCCAAAGCAGG